TTTCTGGCAACGATGTTGCAGGAGGACGGTCTGGAGACCTAGGATCTTTAAGGGGAGTGGATCGGAAGTTACCCGTGGACTTATGCCATTTTGTCAGAGCGAAGATGTCCTTGCCCGTACTGGCTGCGGCAATCTTGTTAGTGAAGTATGCCTTCTTTGCCCTTGCAATCGTGCCCCGATACTCCTTTCTCTCTCTGGCAACACCTTCCTCTGTTATGGGTCCGCAACGGACATTCTTGTATCTTTGGCGAGCCTGTTTGCATGATATATCCCACCATGGGTTCCCTTTACCATGGCCTAGTGAGCGGCGAGCTGCGCCCGTGTATGCTGTACGAATAGCTTCTGTTAACTCTATAGCACACCTGTCCAGCGCCTCCCTGGTGGAAGCTAGTGGAATTGGACTAATACCATCAATATTGATGGATAGGAGACGGAGGAAAAGATCCTTATCCAACGTGTCGAATCTGAGCCTGCGGAGGGGTTCAGTATAGCCTTCCCAATCTACTAAAGTGAGTATTGTGGCATGGTCTGACGTCGTGTCCAGGTGTGGAGCGAGGGTGCACTTTGTCTTTTGAACTAGAGGGCTGGATCCGAGAACTAAATCGAGTACATTGCCTCGGTCATGCGTTGCCATATCTGCAGGTGATAGAAGAGAGAGACTATTTTTATCTGCCCATTCTGTGAATTTTACGGCGCCGGGGGAGGGGCTGCGGGTCCATGATGGCTGCCATCTGGCGTGGTGTAGGTTGAAATCTCCAGAGATAAGCAGATTGCCTTCGAATGGGAGGGTGAGAGAGTAAAGAGAATCGAGAACGCTATTGCTGGTGGGTCCTGCAGGAGCGTTGTAGACGTTGATAATGCTTATGGACTTACCAGAGGACGAGATAATTTTAAGAAGAAGCATATCGCCTGAGAATGCCGTATAACCCTGTTCTGAACAGAGACAGGCATTTTTCCGCACATAGGACATCACCCTGGGTCGTGAAGATGTCCAGTCGTCGATAGGTGAGAAGGACTCAAAGGATGGGTGGCGTTTGGTGATCCGCCTGGCGCGGTCGCTGTAAATGTACGGTTCTTGTATTAGGACAATATCAGCGGAGGCTAGGCTGGCTTCGTTGAGAGCTAACTCGTGCGCTTGGGCACCGCGGCCGACATTTGCAGATACTATTTTTAATGGGCAATTGTTATGTTTGCGGCGCCGTAAAGGGGTCATTACGATTGCGCTTGGTCGTTGCTCTGATCCCCTGTGAGTAGAACTTCGTAGGGGTTGATGGATTTTACTGAAACCGGCTGGGTTTGGCCTATTTCAGCTGGAGTTGCGGCCGTAGTACGCGGGGTTTTGGGGCTGGCCGTAGCCTTGATACAGCCAGCTTCTGCTTGTTTCCGTAGGCGAGCGTCTGCGTTAATCTGGCGGATAGCAGTTACTTGATTCTTGGTCTTTGGAGGACCGGAGGGCTTAGGCCGGAGGTGACAGCTGACATCGTCCGCGGGATGGGGCCCATGACAGTGGATACATCTGTTGGGACATATGTGTTGGCCCGTAGCGCCGCATTGATTGGCATGGTCTTTTTCGGAGTGTCTGGAGGATCCGCAAAGGCGGCATCTGAGGTCGGAGGCACATGTGCGTGTATTGTGCCAGAGCCAGCACCGGGTGCACTGGACAGCCATCTGACGCTTGGGCAGAATTCTTGTCTGCGTGCGGTAGCCAAGGAGGAAGAGGGTTCGTGGCAGGCGCTGATGTGATTCTGGGAAACGCACGATCCATGTCGTCGATGAGGACGTTGGATTAGCATCATTGTCGCGAGAAGCCGCAATAGCTACAGGTACCGCTCCAGCTGCCGTGGCTAGGGCATCCTTCAACGCCTCAGCTGTGACGGGCTTAAGGCAGTACTTCCATTCTTCGTTGATGTGTTCCAGGGCTCCATATGTCCGGGGAACATTTTTTATGCGGTAGGAAGTCCATGGTGTTGCTTTCTCAACTGGTGCGTCCCCGAAGAAACTAACGGACTTTATCTTTTCCATGAGATTTTCTGAGTCTCCGTCTTTGGGGCAGAGAGCGAAACCAGTCTTTGTTGACTGCACATTTGTAAGAATCTGACCCTCATTGCCAAGCTTAGCTTTCAGGTGGGATTGTATCGCGTATGCTGAGTGATCTCGGAGTGTATTACCTTCCGGGATACGGACAAATAAACGATCATCAGTGCGGGTGGGCTTGAGCTGAAGCCGCGCTTTAGCGGGTGTTTGGAGGGTTGGAGTGTGGCGACCGGCGAATTGCTTATTGGACGCCCTTGAAGCTGCATTTGCGTAGGTCTGCGCAGTTTTTGGGGCATTGCGGTTGGACGTGGCGGCGTCGATGGTGACGGTCACTGGCTTGTCACAGAGGTAAGCATCGAAATGCCGTGCTGCGACTTTAGCTAAATCATTGCAAAGGCTTTTGAATGCTTCAGCTTGCTTGGCGGGTAGTGTAGCGTAGTTGGGTGCGCTGCTATGCTTGTCGATTAGTGCAGAAATACCTCCAAAAAGGGTCTCTGCTTCTTTTGCTCGGGCTGTCAAAGAGTTTACGCTCTTGGTCAGAGTGTCTTGCATTGGGCCCGCGGGAGCTGGCTCTGAAAATGGGTCGTCTATGGGGTCGTCGTATTCGATTTGATCGTCGTAATTAATTGGATCGATCTCCATGTCAAGCTGCTGGCTGCTCCCGGGTGTGTCCCAATCGCTAAGAGCTGGATTATAGAAGGGAATGGCTTCTACCGCCTGAGATTGGGTAAGACCCTCCATCGTCGGGAGGGCTGCTCTCGCGCGCGCTGAGCGCGGGATGCGGCTTGATTCTGGTGTCGGTTTGGCTACAGTTGTCGGTTTTTGACGCGACTTGTGAAGGGTGGTAAGGGGGGGTTTGATGTTTTTGTGGTTGTTTCTGATCGGAGCCAGAACGGAAGGGTCTTTACAGTACAATCTACAAATGAGAATATGCTGTGAGATGAGAGACTTTTTGTCGAATCTCTTTGATGTCACAGGTAATGAGAATGGGTTTGCTGTCTGTAAGCAGATGCATATCTGAGCATAGTCAGCTCTAGTTATAAAGTCATGTGACACATGAGGATTACGCTGTGAGGGGTTTGGGTCTGGGGGCAATGCAGGTATTGCAGATGATCCGAGCGCGTATATACCTAGGGATGGCGCTCTTCCTGTTTGTGCTTGAAGCAGAGAAACTTAGTGATCTAGTCATAATACGAGATTGAGCCAAGAGCATTTACATGATCAAATCAAATTGTTTTTTGAAATTTTCAATTTTATTGAGGACCAACGTCGATTCCTTTCGAATTGAAAACCGTTCCCATGATTTTGGACTTTCACGGAATATCATTGCATAGCACCCCTCGCTTGCTAAACTAGTCGACGAACTAGACATGTGCCTGCATGAAGACCAAGCCAATCATATCAATATGTAGAGGGATCCTGCCCCAGCCATTTTGACAATTGTACAATTTCAACCCATAAGAGACTGTAAGAGAAAAACGCTCGGGACCACGGGAAGTGTCGAGAGGAGATTCGAGGTTACCCACGCTACGACAGTGACCATTAAAGATAAGTCTCTGGCGAAAAAATGGGCAGCAAACTAAATGGGTAGCTGACAATATAGCCAAAGGGAACAAGTCAGGAGGTCATTTTCATGAAGGAACCTATTCTGATAGCCACGGAAGTCGCCGTGCCCAGTACGGCGACTCATAAGATGCCCGAAATAGCGACGAGGAAGTTCAAGCTTGTCGGGGGGCTTATTAGGAAATAGCATCCCTAGCCCGTGATAGGTAGAGGTGGTTTGGCTTTGCCACCATGTGTAAGTCAGATCCCCGATACATAATTTTTTGATCGTTGCGTGTGCTCCGGCTAGAAATACGATAGAGTGGGGATATTGGCGTGTAGTCTCACCTACCAACTCGTTTGCAGAGATGCCCACAAGCCTAGAAGACCACGTCACGTCTACGTTCGGAAGTTGAAATAATTAAGGGTATCGGGTGAACTACGTCGTTGACAGACACATGACTATAAATCATATACTTAGTTGTGAGGATATTGAGGAAGCAGAGTCACAGGGGTGGTAATATACGGCATGTAGAGAATGTACGATGGGTGGCAGTTGGGTGCCGAAGGTGTGCACAGCATTCATATTGCCGACTATCTCAATGAGCGGCATTTTTACCCCTAGTTTGATCTTGGTAGCCGCTCGATTGATAACGCTTTGCAACCTCATGAATGATTGGTCCTATATTCTTGATAGTTAATAAGTAATGTAAAAACCTAACAGTAAGGGAATTAGCAAAGTATGCGCGGATGATGAGAACAAAAGATGATTATTCAAACTGCGACTGCAAATGTCCAAATAAGTCATCTTAGCCCCTCGTAAGCAGAAAACTCCACGAGGATAATCTTAAGCCCACAGTCGCAGATATTAAATAGTAAATTTTCAAATTCAAACCGCCACTTCCATCAGAAAATTCAATTTGAATAGCCGTTGCAAGCCTTTTCCATGACTCAAAAACTGATGCTATTAAAGTCCATCGCATCAAGTACCCATTGACACTTCCCCCAAAACGAGATGATAACGATGCAAAAACCACTTTTTCCCTGAACCTGCGCAGATGTACTCTTGAAATAATACGGCATAGCCGAATTCTTCATTTATAGTCTCTGTCGCAAAAGGTTTCATTTATGCCACAACTCCACAAGTCGCCCCTTCTGGCATGGCAAGCCAGGTCTGAGGAGAGCGTTTTCTGCGATAGAGGCTGTAGTGAGCGTAGCGGATATCAGCTCAAAAAACACGCCAAACCTACCATCTATTGCGGTCATAAGGTCGCGGGAACATGAGGAAGGTCGAGATGCATCGAGATAATTTGTGGATTTCGTGATTCTCGTAATGTTGGAGTCGTGTGAGTCAGGAGAAGAGATCTGGCTGACGCTGTGTATATTAATTGAGCAAACTCAGCGTCAAAGCCGCTTGCTCGCTACTAGAATACGAATCGAGCATCGTAATAAGAGCCGAAACTGGTTGACTGCGAGAACAGACAGGGTTTATCAACTTTCACTTCATTGCTTTGAGATCTAGTGAATGCGTCCAAAAAAAACCCTGCAGAATCGATGACCATATGATTTTGAGCCTGGATCCCTAGTTGTAATATTCAGCTAGCTGTGTAGTAGAAATGATGATTATCAAGACCAACCTAGATGAATGGATACAGGATCATTCAACGCGTAAGTATAGAGAATCTGGCCAGGAAATCTTGGATGTTTATATTCTGGTAGTCTGGTATTGGGGTTTTTATTGAGTTGGAATGCTGCATCCGCCTTTATTCGGATGAATCCGGGAAACAAATGTAAGGTCAGTGGACAGAATAGATTGAATTTATCGTCTAATATTGGTAGTTTAGGCTCCATGTAACGCTCATATGGTGTGATCGCAGACAGCACAAGAATAGATTTGTCGATAATTAAAGTCAAGATGGCGACTGCGAAGAATTTCATTCTGCTCTTAGCCTCTGTTACTTGGCTTAAGATCCGACGTGATGATTCACAGTGAGTATGGGGAAAAAGTCGTAGGAATCGCAGAAGAGTGTGTTCTGAATCAGCCGTATGTACAACTCCATTGCTCAGCTGGCGATGCTCCTCTTAACCTACGCTCCAATCTCCCGAGTGTTAAGCACATCCTATCCCACTAGCTCGATTCAAGTAGTGTCGTTGATCCAGCACTAGGAAATCAGGTCGTATCCAGATAATAAAATCACTTGAGTCGCGTCCTTGCAAAATAAAGAACGCCGCGATGACTACGTGGAGATGTCCAGGTTGGCGTTATTAACATTCAAAGTGAACAAGAGATTACTGCATTTGGGCTCCACATAATTTTACGGCACTGCTGATACTTTTCGTCCTTAAGCTTCTAATTTCAGCTGTAGCTTCATCTTAAACTTAGAGAGAGTCATGGTGCTGCTCTTTACTGACCTGGTTTCTGGCTATAAGTGTGATCAAAAGTCACATGATCGATGCAAGGTATTTTGGCTGGGAGCCACTTTCTTTTTTGCATCAGATTTCAATTGCGTGTGCAGCTCTCTACCCATGACACAATTTAAGAGAATTTTATAATAGATGACTCGATTTACAAGAAGAGCACTTATGCCTCGGATTTCATTTGCAAGTACCATTGCGAAGTTGTAGCTTTTTCTTCACCCCAAGCCAACCCTCATCCGTGAATACCCACCCAGGGGACGTCTCATAACCTGAGTTATCCAGACATGCCGGCGAGGAGCCTCATATTAGGGCTGACTGACTTTCAATGTTAGGTAAAATTGGTGATTAACTTCTGTTGTCTCAAACAAATATGTTTATGTAGATAAAAACATTTGCTAGGACCGAGAAAAAATCAGAATACTAAGGCATGAACTGCTACAGAGTCGGGGGACCATTTTCAACACTTGTCAGTTGTGTCCCCTACGAACCTCCAGCACTCACTGTAGAGTCTGCAGAGCCGAGATTGAGTAACCAAGTCCTCACTTCGACGAGGATTCCCAATCGCTTTCGCGGTCTGTAACGTCTTCATCTCTCAACACTTTCCCCTATTACCATTATCATGAAGCTAACCACGATCAGATCAGATGGTAGGGTCGGAGCCCTACTCATCACCAACCCTTGATCGTGGAGGAAAAGCCATCTGATGAGTTTCCGGAGCGCACCCAGTACTCGATGGTGAGATGGTGGATTGGATCAAGGCGGCCTCGAATGTTACAAAGAAGGGAGATATAGATGAAAAGACCTACATAGCTAAAGGTGATTTGATAGTGATTTAAAAATGATCCTAGGACAAAGACTCAACGCCTGCCCGTGGTGTTGTGGGTACTGGTAAGTATTTGAGACTGATATCGTGAGTCCCGAGCGATATCAGATTTCACGGGATGATCAATATCGAAGTCTAAAATAAGCAAAAGGTTGTCTAGCCTTTCATCTATCGACTGCTATGCTCTATATACATTCTATGCTATTGCCCTGAGCGGCGATCCTGTCTTCTCTAACTAGAGGTAAGACGACGCTAGTACCTCAACTCCAGCTCCCGATTATCTGCGCTACAGCATCCTCAATGACCTCTACGAACCTAGGTGCTAAATATACACGCAGAGCCAAGCTTAGTGGGGACGGTCAATGCACGCAAGCAATACTGTCAAACATGGGATTGTTTGGATGGTAGAGCTGTGGTCAAATTACCTCGGTTTATGAGTCATGATATATCGATAAGGCCTGTTTCGTGTTGGGATGTCTACTCGGATGCTTGAAGGGCAGCCTCAAGCAGAACTGCAATGTTTCTATAGAGAATTAGTTCTAGTACATTGGGGCAAGACGTACATGCGCTGAGCCATCGCACGTAGATATTCACAGGAGGCGTTTTTTTAAAACCATTTAATGTGTATGCAGCTATCTAGCAATCACACATGACCGCGACTATATTTACGTGATGCATGACTCTTGAAGTTAGAAACACTCTGTCGATAACCTAGAGTTTGTAACACCCAATTGAATCGTTCCTTATCCCTTTTTGGATTCAGCACTACCTACGACACAAGTACAAACAGCATTTCATCATTAGAGTCGATTTCACATTACTCCCCCGCCTCTTTTCCCCTGCAACTTTAGCTGATACCGACGCAATGAAAATCAGCTGATGAAAGATCTTTTTCAGCAAACCAACTTACTCATGCTCTGCATTTCATTTGCATATACCGCTTTGAGGTATGTTCGCTTACACAAACAGTCGACCCGCCTCCGTAAGTACCCACCAAAAGGAATTTTAAAACCTTTGATCATCCAAGCATGTATCGTCATCCACGTGAGCATGTATCATGAGAGATGTGGTTGTGTGTATTGCGGGAATTCGAACCAGCGATCTCCCGTACCAAGTGGGATTTGTGACCAAGCTGGCCAGACCCTACTTGGCAGATGGGCCAAGACGATGTACCATCGCACCATCGAACCGAGACGGTATTTCTAGTGTATCCCATACTCCGTGAGGAGACGTCTGTGTATATACGGAGGTTTTTCGTTAGACTGGGAAAATAGAGACATCAACATACTTTAATCTTACATTTTTCATTTGACTCATAGAGTCTAGCAAATAAATTTAAGAATTGTTATCTTCTATGGGCGAGACATCTACAATTGAATTGGGTCGACACAAAGTGTGCCCTGCTGTAAAGGGTTTAAAGAATTCAGAAGTACTTGAAAGACGTTAACTCAATAGGAATTGATAATTTTTCCTTGGGAAGCTAATCTGCCTACGACGGCTCCTGTCATGGCGAGACATTCTGGAACCAGAGTCTAAGCAGAATGCCTGAGGATAAAATTCACGGAACAGGTTTTTCGACTCACCCTCAACACTTGCACTTATATGGTGAGACTAGATAATGCGCCAACTGGAATTGATATGGTTGAGGTCACAGTTTGAGTCATGATGGGAAATTACAACAGTCTTAGTTGAATTACGTTAGATAGTTATTTGTACTTAAGGAAGCTGGAGCTACAACAAAGTAGTTCTCCAGCTTCACAATCTTATAATATTATTATAGTATTCCTCTCGCAAATCTGCTTCCTTCTAGCCATAGTACTTCGTCGACTTCCCACCTCTCTAGTATTCACCACTTAACCTTTTCATACCCTCGGCGAACGGCGATCTCGATCTACCCCCTATAGCACGCCGTAACAGCTCCTGTCCTTTATGTCCTCCTCAGCGTCGCGTTTAAGCTCCCCTCCTAGCCTACCTGAGAATACTCCATTCTCCCCGGCTACCCTCTTTCCTGTGACATCCTCCCCCCCTTAGTACGTACTCCCTTGGGTCCTTCCTCATGCGCAACCTTGCAATTATCCTTATGCAACACTTAGATCTCTCTTTGTGCGTATCCTTGCATTCTTCCCCATGCAACCTTTCGCGTCTCTGTAAGCGCTGCTTCGTTGGCGCTTAAAGATCTAGCCGGGTTGGTCCTAGTGACCAGTCCCAATCCGGGCACAGCCCGTAACACCTGCAAGGAGTTTTACGAATTGAGATTTGTTTGTGTAAAGATTTCAATCGTGAGTGTACAGCAGACACTATAAAAACAAGTAATCGATGGTAGGTTCCGTGGTCCGCCTCCTGATGGTGTTCTACGGTATAGTTTGAGTAGCTTGGGCACCTACTCCACTTGGGGATAAGACGCCTCAGACTACATTATGCGCGGAGATGTGCAATGTATGATTGAGGCATGTATGGATAATTCGGGGTTTTTGAGAAGTTTCCCTGGGTGAGTATTCACGGATGAGGGTTGACTTGGGGTGAAGAAAAAGCCGTCATAACTTCGCAGTGGTACTTGCAAATGAAATCCGAGGCATGAGTGCTTGTTAGACCCTGAGGGTCAAATGAAAAATGTAAAGTAAAGTTGTATTGATGAAATCTCTGCTCCTCAACTTCTCTCCAGCAGTGATGCTATATACCCATCTGAAAGTATTTCGAGGAGAGATTACCTTCTTCTCCTTTCCCAAAATTACATGTGAAATATATTACATGTGTTGAAGATCAAAAGATCTCAAGTCGGAGCTTTGACTATCCTGAACATCCTGAACATCCTGAACACCATATCCCTGGTGATATATCAAAGCTCGAGTAAGTTAATCCGAGATGTGTCATCCCAATATCCAATGATTCCCATTACCTTATTCAGTAGGTTCTAAGCTATCAGATGTTTGACAGTACTCTTCTTGTAAATTCAATCAAACTTCGCAATAACAAATAAGTTAGTCCACGAGACTGATTCCTCCATGAGCCTCATCAAGTCTGTAAGTAGAACCTGGATCGTTTTTACTTCAACGACCAAACCTTTCGAAATTCAGTCTCTGGCCTCCGCTGGCCACTAAATACACGCCCGTTACTATATTTGTATCTGGCGGAGGAAACAAATTGTAATAAATAAATCGTGAGAGCAGATATACGGGATGGGCGGAAGAAATGTTAGGACAAATGAAGATGCCAGGAAGCGGAGGAGTCCTGGCGGCTGCAGAAAATACCTCATCACTACAAAGAACTAGATCTACAAATGGAACGGAAACGTCAACCAGAGTCAGCACTTCTAAGATGGACCCACCACTCCCTGATGGCAGCGAGAATAGGCCATGGCGATTTCAGGAACAAATATGAAATAATTGGCCATAAATTTGTGATCTGAAAATGCGAGTGTGGGAGGGAGAAGCGTTTCTGACGTTCTGCAGAATGTCGAATAGCACTAGAGCAATGGAGCTCTGCATTTTAAGGCAGGATTATCCTGTTGAAATTATAGGGGTCCCATTAGGAACATTAATTCATAGAGGAAAGAACGCCAACAATGGCGTGGCAATTTTCAAAATGACAACAGAGCCAAAATTTCGGATTCCTGGAATACAAATCAATAGGCTGAAATGGCTTTAAGACGGCGAAGAGCATACTTAGATGAAGAAAAATGGCCATAATCGAGGCTCTG